AATTCAAAGGAAATTGCCCTGGGAATGGGATAGCATCTCTTGGTGAGCAATGCCGCACGGGGCATCATGCATATGGGAAATGCAAAGATTTATTACTACCAGGCCCTACAGTAGTAATATTTAATCTCTCAACCAGATCTATTAGTATCAGATGTTGAAAGTACATACCCATCATTGTCTAATTGCTGGTGGAAGCCACCCTTACAAATGTGCCTTATTTAACTCTAATTCATAGTGACTGAGATACTGCTGCCTGAAACCAATTCAAGAGACCAGATCACTGACCTTTCTGCATCACCCCCCTTTTTTCCTACCCCAAAGGGCACAGAAAGGGCTGAGGATGTTGCGTCCATGATAGCCTGTGTCCTGGAAATGGATGTACATGAGCAAACCAGAAACAGGGAAACATGTGATCTTGATAGGGATTACCGAGGCAGATCCTTGTTGACCCGACCCTGTTATCTCAAAGGAATCCTTTTCATCACCCTTAATGATGTTGCTGCTTAATATTAATGCTTTCTCAAGGTTTTGGAGATGTGTCTAGATCGCGTTTGCTAACTAGGTTAACTGCACTTTGCATGGCCTTGCATGTGATGTGAAGCGGCCTTGCACCAGCTCTTCCTTCAAATTTCGTCCACATGGTTCATCCTTGTTAGGTTGATGGATTCAATTGATACCATCTGATCATTCATGTAGAGTCACTTTCATTAATTATACTGGATAGAGATAAGGACTGGGGGTGTTGTTTTTCTCTCTGTGATCTCATCTTGAACTACACTTAGCTATCTACTAACTTTCTCAATGCCATACCAAATATTTCATGAATTCTTTCTGATACCCGAACTTCAAATGAACACATCTGCACACATAAAGTATTGAAGTCCTGTATATTAATTATTTTACGCACACACACACACACAATTTTTACCTGAATTGGGCTATCAGCCATCATCAGGTTAACATAAACACCATTTATTTAATCTGGTCTAACAGTTCCAACAGTAGATTTCTGTCCACCAATTTGTTTCTTAGCTTACCAAGAACATACAATTTATTTGAACAGACATACATCAACATGATGGAAAAGACGTTTAGCTTTGGATTAAACCAAGCATGTGGCCCAACAAGAACAGAGGAAAAAAACACAATTTTGTCTTAATCAAAATAATGGGGCTTACTACTGAAATGGCTTAAATAATCAAATCATGTCAAAAAAATAATGCAACTGCTTTTTGTGCAGTAGGGGCACTTTCGGAGATGATTCCTGCATATTTCAAGAACTGGGTCATGCCATGTGGCAAAATCTTTTTTTAGACCGTATATTGACTGCACCCTTTTTGAGCACAGGAAAGCAGCCAGCCCATGGAGGATAAGTGGGGGGTGGAAAAAACAATTGAAAAAGAAAGAATTAAGAAGAAGAAGAAGAAGAACGACCACCAAAAGAGAAAAGGAAACCATTTCTCCTTCTTCTCTGTTTCAATTTTCAAAACTTCATCAGGGTTTTAGGACCGTTATCAATTTCAGAGCTCGAGATGAACAAATGAAGAAGAGACAAGAGAGCATAACAAGGCTCCCCTCGTTGAAAATTTCATGATTAAAGGGCCAAGATTACAGGCTCCCCCCCTTATTAATTACCCATGGTTAAAACTTAAAAGCTAGTGTTTTTTTTTTTAATTTTTTATCTTCATGATTAAAGGTGATCTTTCATCCACTTGTTTTACTACCTTTTTTAACTGTCAGTTCTAATTTTTGGGTAACGGAGCTCGTATCACTTTGAAATTTCAAAAGATTCACACCGAAGCCAATTGGGGTCCATTCACTTCAAGTACATATTGCAAAGATATTTGTCTGTTGCATAGTAAAGCAGGATTCTGTAACATAAAGTTTAATCCCCCACTTGCTAATTAAACATTAATCACAATTTCATAAAATGTAATTGTTAGAAGGAAAAAAAACCGAGTGAGAGATATCAAATTTTACAATTTATTTCGGGTTCAGATTCGAATAATTTAACACATTTATATGAATTTAAGCTTTCATAATAAGTGAGGTTTGGATTACATCATTAATAGTTATATATATATCCTTATTTTCTGAAATGTGGAAAATATTGTACCAATAAGAGTTTTTAAGGGTACATTTATTGTACCAATCAGATAGGTTGTCCCAAAATTGTAGTACCCTTCCTGCAGAATATTCAAGATAATTCCACAGTGAGTGATTTGCCATCACTTCCAAGCTATGTCCTCTCTCTTTAAAATAATAGACATAAGTTTGTCAACAAAACACATGTGATTTGTTCTCTAATTACAATTGTACTCTAGCAATAATCCATGTGGATTGTCACCTTATTATCATGCTTGTTACTAACTTTTTAAGTTTGGAAAGTTTATTTTTTTTTATGTACCTAACCACTAGGACTAGGTGGGCTAAATAATGCATTTTTAGCAGTATTATGTGGGAAAAAAAATTATTCAATGACAACAAATTATAGAAGGAAACAAAAAATCCCAAATCAAAACAAAATAAGAAAAAAATTAGATTGCATGGATGTTTCTTCTTTTTTTTATTTTGAATTTCAACAATTTATTTAATGACCATGCCAACTCAATGGAATTTTAAAATCTTAGTAACATTGAACCTTCCTGCCTTCTTTGATTATTAGTAATACTTTGGGGGAATTATTTCATGCATTTATAATTTAAAATCATAAAAAAAATAATTGTAAAATGACTATGGGATAAAATGAATCAAATACTTGTATCCTACCATACACTTTAGAATTAAATAATTCAACTAAATTCAGTTCATCTGTTCACATCCAAAATTTATCCCACCTTCAAAGTCTCCAGCTTTTGTTTCCAAAAGAATGTTTAGATGGAATTATTTTAATTTAGGTAAATAATCCAATGGATCCCAGACCAGCATTACCATGTTTATGCAAAGCAGGAGGATTTTCCATCTTAAACCAACATCTGGACCCACAAAGACTGACAACCCCTTCTCCTCCTGCATGATCAGACGGCCCTAAATTGAATTCTGAAAGTAAAAATTCAAAGGGTTGGAATGGGATTGGAAGGTTAATGAGAGAAAAAGGAAGGGTTAATCTGGGGATTTGGAAAGAGCCAGAAGGGTGCCACGTAGACAGATTGACAATCTGGCAATGTCTCCAGACTAAGATGGAAACACCTTTATATAGTGCTAAGCTTCTGTTCCCTTCCCTTCAACTTCAAGGCGTGCGAATTTGCTTTCATTACTCTCTTCCGCCCTTTCTCTATATTTCTCTCTCTTTCTCTTCAGACAAAGCACCAGTTACCCTGTTCATGTTTCTTTTCTTTCACTTCCAATACGAAAGAAAATTGAGAC